ACAGAGCAGTTATGGATCCCTAACTGTAGGTTACAGATCTGTAACAAAATGCAGAATACCAGCCTCTAATACTAATGAACTAACTGAGGCTGCATCTAAACTGCAAAAATAATACCGATTGACACTGCTTTAACCGCCATGGCTCAATGCTGAGGTTTGTAGTTTTGTGAGCTATTTAGTCTTCTCTGTTAGAAAGCTCTGGTGCCACAACAGACTATAAATCCCAGGATTCCATAGGATGGAGCCACAGCAGTTGAAGCAGTGACAAACTGCATTCATTCTGCAGTGCAGATGCTGCCAGGGCAGGGGGCTTAGAAGCAGAACAGGAATTAATTGCTTTTAAAAAGTAACTGTCCAGACTCTTTCAATTACCTGGAGCAGCCTATCCTACTGCAATGGCTGAAACATCAAGGTGGTGTTTGTCCTTTAGGTTAAAGATTTACTTGAAAAACAAACTTCCCTTACAACGTGTTATCAACAGGACAAACATCTTGCTTGGCAGCTGCAGTGTGGGAAACAGCAGGCTGTGCACTGCATGATGCCGCCTCAGTACTCATGCTACACATTGATGCTAGAGACAATGCACCTGGTCCCTGTGCCAAGACGTAATTGCTAGAGATCAGTGGCGCAGTGGCAAATTTTAGAGTGCTTGCATGTGTCATGATGTTCTTCATAGCCAAGGCCCCAAGGAGAGTCCATGAATGCAGGTGGCTGTGTTGATGCCTATCAACAAGCCAGTCCTAGCAGTGTCAACAGATGGAGGTCTTTTGTAAAACTAATGGGTCTTAATGGCCCAATTCAAGACCACCCCAAAATACTTAGCACCACAGCTGGGATTGCTCACAGCAGTATTTTCATCCATCTCCTATGATGAAGCTCAGAAGGAAAGGGGAAGCTTGGAGGGAATGGACGTTGGCATCAGTGTTCCTGCTACACAAAAAAGTCCCAGTGCTTCACTTCTATGAGCCCTGACTCCTACAACGTGAGTTACCAAAGAAAAGGGTGGTGCAGATTTTAGTTATCACTGGCCACAGGTTCTTCAGTCTTTTTTTAAAAAAAAAAATCAAAGTCTCATTTTCATGTTCTTCTCTGGGGTGAAGTTCCATCTAAAGAGAAGAAGAGCAGATCACAGCTTTTTTTATTATTATTGTTAACTGCAAGCCAGGCAAAGTCCTGATAGGAATGCCATCCTGGATGGAAATTTTGCAGAGAAGCCTCTTCCTCTGTGTTATTCTGCTGCTCACATAAGAATGCAAGTTAGCCTTTCTAGTTTTACTTTTAATGCATGATAAACAATGCAGTCCTGTCTCTGCTCTCAACTTCTCTACACTTTATCAGGAATGCTTTGAGAACATGTTCCAGAGACTCTGACGCACGCAGTTTGGATTTCCTTGTCTAAAAGTTTAAGGGAGGGGTCTCCCTTTTCATTGACACTCTTATGTTGCAGAGTCTTGTGGAGGAAAATGGGAATAAATGTATCTCAGCCCATTGTGTCTTGCCTCTTGGTGAAGAAGGGGAAAGAAGAATCTTGGACTTTCTGGAAAGAAAGTTTCCCCTCCACTTTCTACAAAACAAAGATGATTGGGGCATATGTTTGATGTTTCTCTTTTGGTTGGTTGTTGGGTCCCTTCAACTTATGTCAAACCTATGGCAAACCTAAGGCTTTCACGGGGTTTTCTTGGCAAGATTTGTTCAGAGGAGGTTAATAATAATAATAATAATAATAATAATAATAATAATAATAATAATAATTTTTTATTTATATTTCCCACCTCTCCCTATGGATTGAGGTTGCCTTTGCTTTCCTCTGAGGCTGAGAGAGCATGGCTTTCCCAAGGTGGGTTTCTATGGCAGAGCAGGGATTCAAACCTGGGTCTCCAAGGTCCAAAGCTCAAACCACTAGACCACTGACTCTCAGTACTTGAGTACTAAAACCTTTACCTTTACCTTCCCTTTTCACAGTGCTAGGCACATATGTGATCTCTCCTAGAACTCTCATTTGGGGGTTCAGTAGGAACAACGAACATGAAAAGAAACTGAATGGATGAGACAGGGGACACTGCTTTCTATTTGGGTTGGCTATCAAAGCTTTAAACCTTTTTAAAAAGAGATCAAGCTTCTAGCTCTCATGACTTCTGGAAATATGCTTGGAATACAGGGGACCAGTTTGACAAAATTCATCTGGACTTGTCTTTGCTGCTTTGATAGTTAGCCCAAGCAGAGATCCCATCTTTTCCATCATCTTCTACCTTCCCTCGGAGTGTGGTGGAGTCTCCTTCTTTGGAGGCTTTTAAACAGAGGCTGGATGGCCATCTGTCGGGGATACTTTGATTGTGTATTCTTGCATGGCAGAAGAGGATTGGATCTGATGGCCCTTGTGGTCTCTTCCAACTCTATAATTCTGTTATTCTAACCTTTTTAACAGAAGATGGTGGGGAATCAAACCAGAGAGCCTTCTTCAGGCAAAGCAGATGCACATGGTTCCACCAGGTTTGTTTGCCTTTGAAGTTGTTTAAAGATGAGGAGTTTGTTAGCATCAAAATATCCAGAAAGTTCAAACCCAGAGTTTCAAAACTTAAGCTCTCAAGCTTAATGATAGAACCAGAGAGCTGGATGGGACCACAAAGTCCAACCCTTTGCCATACAACAAAATACAGCTGAAACATGCTGAACGCTGGACACCTGACCTCTGTTTAAAGGCCTTGAGTGAAAGACAGTCCACCACACTCCAAGACAACCCATTCCGCAGCTGAACAGTTCTTACAGTTAAGAAATTCTTCCTAATGTTTAGGTGGAATCTCTCTCTTCTTGTCATTTGAATCCATTGGTTTGTGTTCTAGTCTCTGAAGCAGCAGAAACAATTGATTAGTTCTGAGGACTCATTCTTGCCTTGCCTGCAATATCAATCCATGTGCATGAAAGCCACACCATTCCATTTGCAACTTTCCTGTTCACACACTGTAGTTATAGGAAGAATATATTTTTAACTGTTGATAAACTACTGGCTGAAAAGTATAGTTTAGAGAGAGAGAGAGAGAGATCCATTTATAGAAACCAACATCGGTCATTTGGATCTCATGTCAGTAAGGCAGTGAATCACCAGTATTTCCCCATCCCAATGGAGATTCTGGGATTCCTGTAATTCAGAACAGTAACTTTTCCAAGTTCAGCTTTTAACACATGGTTGCCCTATTTTACTTGTGCATGTTAATCTTGATTTGGAAACTACCCTGTAAACACCACCAAAAGGCAGCATACCACGCTTTGTAATAAGTCAGTGAAATTCTTTGAACATTCAGAAAGGTCCTTTAAGAACACCAAGTCATGGGCTTGTGATGTGAGATCCCTATTAGGTTTTCCTTCATCTTTGTGATGTGCTTCAATTAGGGATGGAGTCAGATTTTGCACTGAAACACAGAGTTTTCTTTCTTTCTTGTTCTTCAGAGCATTAGTTCCATTTTGGTCACTGCGATTTACGTAAAAGATTTCAATTGACATCAGTGAGTCTGGATCTGCAGACAAATGGATGCCCCTCTTCCAAGTCGTTTTAAGAGATATGGATGTTTGGTGTCCTTCATTTGGTATCCAGAACATGAACTGTATACACTGTCTTAAGTTTAGTGGGTCCATCCAATTGAACTCCCTGATTGAATGGAATGGAACAACGCTATCTATGTATACATCCGCAGCTGTGTGGAATCCGGTATGCAAAGGGATCTTGTAGCACCTTTGAGACTAACTGTGTGCAAAATAAGTTATAGCATGAGCTTTGGTCTACTTCCTCAGATGCATGGAGTGAACTGATGCCCAGGAAGTGTTTTTATATCAGAATTCACTTATGCATTCAAGGGTATGAGATGCATGCGTACCATTTTGGCCATACGCAAAACTCCCTGTGTATATTCACCGGATGGGAAACAAGCCATTCTGGGAGTGGAGGGTGAATGGAGGCACAATATGGCTCTGTGACTCATTTCCTAACAGATTAACGGCCAGAAAGGTTGCAAGGAAAGTCACACATCCATCCCTCCCTCGCTTTCATTCTGCCCTGGCTCCCCTTCTGGCAATGAGATTTGTTTCCGAGAGGCCTGTAGAACAGTCGTGGGGATTCATGGCTCTGGCTTTTGTGATGCCAGTGTGGAAAGCCAGGAAGCGTTGTCTCCTGAACAAGCAGGGGGCATTCAAGGCACAGTCTGAAGAGGGTTTTGCTTGGGCTCATTTGTGTTCCAGCAGATGTTGTTCTTGTGCTCCTTGCTTTTTGCCTATTAGAGTCTTCTCTTGTTCCCCCTGCACCCAC